CCTTAATGGATATAACAAGATGCACGCACACACACGCACGCACACACACCACACACAGCCAGAAGGACAGGCAAATTAGAACAAAAACTGGTACAACCAAGTACCAATCCATACAATGATGGATACAGAGACACAGCGTCCCCCCGTCCCCCCGTCCCCCCGTCCCCCCCCCCCCCCCCCCCCCCCGTAGCAACAGGACAGGGTATGACAGTTTAAAAGAAAAAATAAAGATGAGACGTGTGAGATGATAGAGTGGTTGTGCCGTACAGCAGAGGATCTGGCAACACCAGCTAATGCAGCTCAACTGACTCCAATTGGATCACTCGTGGACATCTCGGAGGTGAAGGAGGAACGCAGAGGTTAATCAGGACGTGGCCAAAGGAAGCAAGCAGCACGTAACGTCGTAGCCTGCAAATGCTGGGGCGGGCGGTAGCCAGCTTCCATGAAGAAACAGGCTAGCATCTTCTAAACTGTGCATGGCAGCAGTGTGCGCAGTGGAACGTCCTTCCCCACTGGATCATGCCAGCAGTGCATGGAGTGGAACATCCTTCCACACTGCCCACGGAGTGAGGCAACACCAACGGCCAGACATCCCCAGCCAGCAACACCTGGCAAGCACAAACAAAGACAGCACAGACCATAATGGCATCCACTCTCAAAGCACAATGTACAGCGGCACACTATCGATTACCATGAGAAACACGGCAACCGAAGCAGGGGCACTTACACCCAAAGCCCTACAAACAGGGTCCTAAGGTCAGATTGCTGCAGGGCATGTTGGGTCATGATGATCAGCTCATTAAGAATTAACTCAGGATATACAGTGCAAGAGTAGGGTAGGATGCTGTCGATATGTACTTGTGATCCGGCTGGGAGCTACACATGCAATACGCTGTATCTTCATGTCTGCACAATCCGAATGACAAGTGGACAGGCGTGAAAATGTTTGATTATGCCATGGTGCAGAGTGGCAATGGGTACACATCACAGAAGAGCAGACGGTACATGGCATGCTAATGTGCGAATGAGAGAGAGAGAGAGAGAGAGAGAGAGAGAGAGAGAGAGAGAGAGAGAGAGAGAGAGAGAGGAGGAGAGATAGATAGATAGAGAGAGAGAGAGAGATGCACACAGAAGGAAGACTAGAGGGACGTTCTGCGGTCATGTGTTGGCTTTGCTTTACGCTGACAAAAGTTGCCTGCACATGTACTTACTACGGATGTTGGTGTGAAACTGGTTGTGGGCTTGTGCCTAGTTGTCGTGCAGCTTGATGTATGGCGTGTCTATCATGCTTTCAGCTCCTCCGAGTGCTTGGGTAGCATTGTGTCCACTGACTGTGTCTGTGGCATGCAGTCAGTAATCCAAGTTGTATTCACAGGAAGGTCTATGTTGATGTGCGGTTTAGTTTTCTAGCTCGCCTGGCTGCCAGAGTATCTTCCATGTTGTTGGGCTGCCATAGAGTAGTTTGGTTGGTGCTGCCGGGTCCAAGGGTGGACATACTGGTCTTACTTGGCATCCAGGTTGATACACTACTCTGAAACCATGCTGCCGCCACCACCGCCGGCTGGCAGTAGTGGTGAGTAGTGGTGATAATGGTACTACACTACTCCACTCTGTCGGTGCTTGGCATGGTGGTATTAGTATTATTATTGCACAAGTGGACGATGTCCGTGTTCCATGACAGTAGTCACCCCGTCATGCGATAGTACTGTTACACAACTCGAATCCTGTTGCTGTTGTTGCTGCTACTGCTGGATGCAGCCTGATCAGTGCGTGTGGCTCCCTCTCATTTTCCACTTCGTGCAGCACTGCTTTGATCACCGGCTTGAGAAGTACTGCCCTGGCCTGGGCACATGTAGGTCTACATGTACATGAGCATGCAGTATGACCTTGCACAGCGCAATGCAATGTGAAGTGCACGCGGAGACCGTGGAAGGTTTGGCTCCCGATTGATAAGTTCGGAGGCGGCGACGGCTGTACTGTGTTGGTCAGGCACTGTCCATTGTACTACACTGCATGCTGTGCTGTATGATAGTGGGAGAGCATGGGTTCAAACTGGACATGGAGGATTGGCAAGTGTTTTCAAACGCTACAGAGACAGGGTAGTCCGGGGGCTCAGTGGGAAACATTCCCGGGTCACTTGCAATTAAACATGAAAATTAATAATATGGCAGACTGGCAATTGCCTCCGGGTGGGTGTGAAAAGAGACCTTTCCGAGTTCATTGTCTAGGGGAAGTTTGCCCCGGAATGAACTTCACAGCTTGTAGTGAAAACTGCACTGGCTACAGTGGTGAACATCTCAGGTTGATCGGAACAGCCATTCTAGAGTTCCAGCGGCTGGAAGTTTTCACTAAATTCAGTGACTTTGTGATGACACCATAATCTCCCAGGATATGTCGACCTGTGATGTCACAGAGATAAACTTTGGACGGGAGTAAACAGGGAAAAAGCCAGGTTCTTTCTTGTTTCGCTACAACAACAACACACGTCCTCCCAGATATTTTTCCTCCACTTGCGATACTAAAAAGGCACCAAACGTCCCATACCAAAGTTCGAGAAACATTCGATTTGCTTGCGAAAGCCATACCTGCCAAGTATCCCGCATTTTTGGATGAACTCCCGCGATCCCGAAATCCCTGTCAATTATCCCAAAAATCACTGTACACGAAACAAGTCTTGATAGTGTTCTCAGAGCACTTCAAGTGACTTGTCTAGTCGTCCTTATTGATTCTGTACTGCCATAGCTGTAGTACCAGTGGATCTACTAGTGCTCCTTCCATGAACCGTCGCTGAAAAACCTCCGCTTTGAGTCCTGAACATGAATATCACTGATCATGTCACAACATTTTGGCGTCATCATTTTGAAAAAGTTGGCAATGGAATTTTGGAAAAAATATGACATATCCCGAAAAACCAAGGCAAATCCCGAGAATTTGCCCTGGCGATCCAGAAAAAGCACTCCCAGTACTTGGCAGGTCTGGAAAGCTGAGAGCTAACCTACTGCCATTTCCTTATCTACCCCCACACAAAGTTTATCTCTGCAACAGCCACGTACACATGATCACACATTCACCCTGATAATGGGAGATACAGGCATGCACACGGGAGCTTGGAGAAACTTGACAAGAACGTAGCCAAGAGAGACGGTGAATGTGTGAATGCTGGAACTTGAATACGAGAAATTAATATGAAAGCCTACTGGTAGTGACGACTCATGTACTACAGTCAAAGTATAAACTTTTTTCTTCACCACACACAACAATGCAGTGTTTACACGTGCCTGCATGCGGGCATGCATGAACGCATGCATGTGTATGTGTACAAGTACATTCATGAGCTCACAGTGTGTTCCCATCTGAGATCAAACACAGTGAGCAGACGACCACAATATCCACGGCTACTGCTGTGAAGTGCTCGCACGATCACATTCTAGATCACACGTAGAGCACATTGTGGAGCACCAGATCAGCACTGACTGACCAACCAGAACACAGTTGATTCCACGCGTTGCGGACAACACAAAGCTTGCATGGCACATGTGCGCACGTGCATGCACGCACACACGCAGGACTCAATGACCAATCGTACACAATCAAGCAGTGAAAGAAAGTCTAGACACAGAGGCAAGGACAGCAACTTACTGCCAGCCGGGGTTGGCTGTAGAGTGCGTCTTGGCGGTGCACCTTGATCAGATGAGCCACCAGTAAAGTCCCATGAATCGTCGTTATTAGCTGCAACGTTGACACGGTCGGCCTGAAGCAGAAACGGAACAACGCCCAAACAATAATGGTACATGTATTCCACGAATATTGCTAGCTGAAGACAGGTCCAGGAAGCTAAATATTTACTTCGAAGCATAATACACAACACAAAGACACAGCCTTGTAAATCCAGGCACATGGCATCCAGCAGCTGAGGAGACTCAGTCAAACGTAGCAATGGACTACTTGTGCTAGCAATCAGTACTGGTACTGGTAGGATTAGACCGCAGTACTATAAGTGCATGTACCTTAGAAAACTCAATGTTCAGGGTGCAGCAGCCGGCATAGATGTCAGCACCGTCCAGTTCTTGCTTGGCTCTGACGGCTTGCTCGACGGAGGCAAACTCGACCAGTGCCTGGATGCCGGTTTTGTGGAAGATAGCGATGCGCTGCACTTGGCCGTGTTCCCGGGTTATAGTGTGCAGGACATTGACCGTGATCGGATACAGCGGGTTCAGGATGGTGAGCAGGAGGATTTTGTTGGGCCCGTACTCACGGTGGGGGCGCTCCTGGCGTGGCCCACCGTAGGTAGCGCCGCCGTAGAACTGCTCTTCTGCGGGGCCAGCACCGGCCCCACCAGATCCTCCGCCGCCGCCACCAGAACGAGCACTGGCCTCAAAATTCCCTGCCTCGTACGCATCATAGCGAGTTGGCCGTTCATTCGGACCGCTGGGAAACACACACAGTAAAAAAAAACTAAAAAAACATTGTACACAGGGCACCTCAACCTACAAGTAAGCCAGTAAACTTACCACAGTAGAACCTGGGTAAGACGTACCCACACGGGTAGCAGGAAAGTGCACTACGGATCCACCGTACTTGGAAGTAGTTCTTATCCCACCATACTTCAGTATGGATCAATACACCCCTGCTCCGGGCAATGTCCGTACTGAGAATCTCTTATTGGCGATGGTGCCATCGTGAGAATAAAGAATTCAAAAAGCAAGAGTATGTCTTATCAGAGGACGTACTAAGAAAGTGACATCCACTGAAGTTGCTCAAAGAGAAACGGTGCGCTGCGTATGTAACGCACTCACTTATTAACAGTACCCGAACACATGAGTGAAAACCTGTGATCTTCTAGACATATTCTAGCACAGATATAACATGGGCAGTCAAAGAAATATTAGAAAACGTGTGCCCCACCGTTTCCATGTTTCTAATTCAATACCTTACTATTTGATTTACCAGTAATAGTTCTGATGAGATGGTTCGAAAACGTTCAAGGAATAATAATGGGACATTTGCGGCACTAACATCATTGGCTGACGTGGTTCTTTGGGTGGCCTTGCTGGCCACCTACCTGGTTTTTCGGGCTTCCTTTGCAGATTTCCGTTTTTGCTGTTAGCGGTTGTTTCCTTCCCCATCCAGTGCAGTTTCTGAGTTCCAGTGTCCCTGTCTGTGTTCCGCCATGAACACCTGTACTGTGTTTGGTTGCCATCACAAAACCGGCAAGAAAGGCAGCGAAGGCATTTTGTTTTATCGCTTGCCTCTGAAAAATAAGCCCTTGCTCAAGAAATGGCTTGCTCCCATGAAAACATATTCTCTTTGCATCAATGTGCACACCCGTGTGCGCAGTGCTCACTTCGAGGGAGGTAAGTGCAAAGGAAGGACTGATATTCCTTCTGTGTTCTCCTTTTGGAAGGGAGAATCCAAGCGCAAGCCACCTGCTGTGCGTCTTGTCCAGTCGCCGAAAAAGCGCAAGGAACCTACACCTGTGCCTGTGGATGTTTCTGCCGAGGCAGACCCACCATCTCCAGCTGTAGAGGATGCTGGAGAAACCATCGAGACCCTCCGCAAGAAACTTTCAGAGATGGAGATGCGTGCAGACCAGTTAGTATCGAGACTCGGAGAAGTGGAGTCGCAGAATGCGCAGCTGCGCAAGAGCAATACTTTAACCCTTTACTGTCCGATTAAAATGTATACAAGCCCACGCAACCACAAAATCTGAAACTAAAATTAGACGTAATTTTGGTTTGAATTTGACGATTTCCACGATCTTGGGCATCCTGGAAAGGTCTTGACGAGACGAACGCAATGAGCCCACACTCGGCGCCACAGGATGCACTGGTCCAGCGCTGCAAGCCAGGGAACGCGCAAAAGCGCTGAGCTCACGCTCGAGATCGATCTCAATCCACCATGTCACCCCTGTTGCTCGTATCGAGCTCAAATATTTTCGTAGAGACTCCCGGGAACCTACTTTTGAATTTGAATCGGTGTAGCCTTGCCAACAGGTGACGTAAACAGGGAAAATCCCAGCCGTCGACACGCGCGTCGCGCTCTGAACGCACATTTCCCGGGACCAGAATTACGAGTGCGATAACTCAGCAACCGCTCTTCGTATCGCTTCGGGAATTGTTCGAGGCGACAGCTGAGACTTTTCTCTTCGACCTACATATTTTTCTATCTCTCCAAAAGACCTAGATTTGAGCAAGTTACGATAATTTCAAAATGCCTACCCCATCGATCCCATTGGATCAATGCTTGTATGTACGGACAGTAAAGGGTTAACATATCATCTCATTGAGCATGACGACTCACTGGCTCGCTTTTACACTGGACTTCCTGGTGCGTTGTCATTCTGTGAGCTGTACTCTTTTGTTGAGGATTGTGTTGATGGCCTTGTTTACTGGCATGGGGCAAAGACACGACGTGGCAGTACACGCAGGCATCGCCGTACACTATCGGCCAAGGATGAGCTTCTTATGACACTGATGAAGCCGAGGCACTCCTGAATAAGCAACACCAGAAGGAGTACCAACTGAGAAAGAACCTCGCGGATGCTGACTCTGCGATCGCTTGGTTGCAAGAGGAGGTGGAACTCCTGAACAAACACCTGTTTGCGTCTGAGAAGGAGAAAGTTGCACTGCGTAGTGGGCATCGTCTCTGCATGTCAATACAGACGGTAAAATAATGGCGGACGGGATGTACTTGCCATATGTACGACAATGCTGCCTGGAGCTGCTGGCCAGCTGGTATTTTCAATGTGAGAAAAGTCATAAACAGCGTTCTCGTTCTGGTTGGCAAACGGGCTCACTGTCTTCCATCGCATGGAACACTCTCCCAGCTTTATGTTGAGCTGAAAGGTCCGGTCAGTCTCCAGTTAGCTGAGGAGTTGGAAGGAGAGGAGAACACCACCCTCCATAGCGCCGTGACCAGCAAACATGGTTGCAAGTATGGTTCTTCTTTCCAGATCACCACCAACCACCGAGGCTACAGTCTTGGTTTGGTCAACATAGAGAGAGGCTGGGCCACCCATACTTTGGAAATGCTCAAATCTGTGCTGCCAGATGTTGCCACAGTAATCAGTGACTCGGAAGGTATTGCTGAACGCATCATGTCCAATGGACAGCTGGGAGTCTCTTCTATCGATCCGTTGTACTCCAGCCACAGCAGGCACAACAGAGCTACTGCCATCCTCTTTGAAAGCCGCTCTATTGCGCCCTCAGAACTATATTCCACACCCGACGCCAATTTCTGTCAGATCAGCACTCATACTCAACGCAGATCGATCGCTCAAACTGGGAAAGATTCGCGCTGCTCAAGTGAACATGTTGGTGCCCATTGCACATGGGCTACGTCACAGTCTGGTTGGGTGTTTCGCGCATGCAGCTCACTTGAGCAGTGCGTGGAAAGAAATTTGAAGTATTTTTGCACTTCGCACTTCGTCCGTTGTACTGCTACGATCGAAACACGCTAGAAAGCTCTGTTTACCAGCTTTCCAACGAGCCGTCATTTGTGAAGATCCGATACTTTTTTACAGTTACGATAGTTTGTACAGTGGTCTATCCAGCGCCAGTATGCACTTCATAAATATCGTCGGTATATCGACGATTTCAAGTATGCGCGGTAGTTAAGGGGTTAAATGTATATGAACCCATATTTTGTATAGTATGACATGTACATCAAAATGAAGCTCTTTTCGTGCTCTACATGTCTGTCAATGTGTACTTTATTAAGTTAATTTTCACAAAGGAACATTTCGTTTCTCGGCCAAACAATACGAGTGAGAACAGCACAGGACAACTACATACCTATTCTGTAGATCTTGCGGGAACCTTGCAGGACACAGAAACAAAATGACAGAAGACAATGAGACAATCGATACGCACAGCACCGCACCCACACCCACCCACTCCCGCACTCACAATAAGTGGTAAGTTCCAATCTACAACAACCAATGTTACCATGCATCAATACAATGATTTTTTTTCCAAGACATGTACAAGCTACAACCCACAGTAACAAGATCACGACACATTCAGGTCCAGTCGAGACAGACCGATCTGTTCAAAAACAGAATGCTCGTGGCATGGCACATCCGCGCGTGTGCACGCGTGTGTATACGTGTGCCCGTTCAAGTGTGCGTGCAGGGGCATCGGTGTCGGTGCATGTGTGTACACGCGTCATCGTGGAACGAGGCCTATTCTACACAGCAGCAGCAGCAGAGGAATGCTAGTGCAAGATACGACGCAAAGTTCACGGTGCTAATGCGTACAAAACTACAAATAACACCCAAGCTCATCACATTGACTACGTGGGGCTGATCCCGATCCATGATAGAGAACTACATTACACAACTTTGGAACTCCAATCCAGATGTGTCCCTGTACACTAGGTCGGAGAACTTTCCAAACCAAAAGGAATGCCAATACAGTCGAACACAGTACACCACATGACGCAAAGACAGTCTGGGTAGCGGAAGAAGCTGGATAAGGGGAGTTGGGAGTGTATAGCATTCCCGGGAAAGGTACATACAAGAGATCAACTGACAACTTTCGCGTGAATGAATGGCTTCTCACACAACATGCGAATAAAGTGGAATCACTGCCAACCTATATTATACGCCTTGCCACCAACAAGCTAACCTTTTAATGCTTTGGCTGACAGAGAAATTGAAGAAAACCGGTCTGCCCAAGACGGGAAGTTCGTTTTGCTACCAGGACAAAAACAACAGTGGACCAAAGAAGAAACATGTCAACAAATAGAAAAGACAGCTACCAGTTCACCCGTAATATCGCGTCTAAAAGCGGGCTTTTTCTGTAGAAGCTGATGTCAGTGCTAGTCTTCTATTGAAATTAGGCTTGTAAGTAAACCAGGTATTTCTGTGTATGTCAACACTAAACCCAGGCTATGTTCTGACGGTGCATCTTGGAAATAAGGCTTGCATTCAAAACAGGCTTCTATATCATTATGAGACAGGCTTTAACACAAGAGACCACGGTACTTGTTAATTAACACAGAAATCTCTGCTGGCAACAGAAATTCTACATGTATGTCCGTATTGACATAAGCGACAGATCGGTGAATAAATCTTTGCGCCTATGAATCACTGGCGCAGTTCAGATAGTTCTGATGACAAACTACATCAGTACAAGTATAATAATTATCACTGTTTGAAGAACAGCTAGTTCAGAAGTGCACACATGCTGATACATGCATTTTGCTTAGACAGTAAGAGTGTACATGAGGCAAGCCAGCACCTAATATACACCCTGGACATACAACTCATGACAATGACGAAGAAGGACATCAATAGCAAATAAACAGGCAAACAACGTTCATCCCTTACTGTAGCAAAGTCTCGAAGAGCAACCGCTTGCTCTGTAGTCTGTGGGGCAAACACAAGTAAGACACATGCGTACACATACATGCAAGCATCCGTACATCACACGCACACCCACCCACCCACCCACATATAAGTATCCACATGCACACACATAAACATACACACACACACACATGCACACACATAAACATACACACACACACACATGCACACACATAAACATACACACACACACATGCACATGAACATGATTATACACATACATGTGCACGTACCTTACCACAAAGTGTGGATGTTCCACTCACTCAATCTTCACAATCTTAGGCTTCCTGGAAAGGTCGCCGCGAGAGGACGAGACTGAGGTCACACATGATGACCAAGACACCATATCTTCAGCGCTGGAGAGCAGCGAAGTAGCAAAAACTGCTTGAAAAGCGTGCAATTTCGTCCTGGTCCAGCCGTTTCATTTTTCTCAATCGCAGAGTTTCAATTTTTTCACTGTGTACTCTTGAGAGTTCTACCAGAGAAACCCACGCAAATTTGAGTAACTCAATGTGAGGACTAAGTCTCAAAAATCTCAACTTTCGCGCGGCACTCCACGCTTTTCAAGTTGCTGCTGTCATGGCTCAACTTACGAGCGATTTATCTCAGGAACGGTTGATCGCAGCGCTTCGTGGATGGGTTCTACGGCATGCTGAGAGTGTTTTCTTCGACCCGGATATTTGGACCGTAGAATTTGAGCTAGGTTTGACTGAGTTCAATATGACCTGTTGAAGTTTCACAAATGAATGCGCAGAATTCTACGCATGCAAGTATGGGGCAGCTTCTAAAGGGTTAAGCCATACTGCTTAAATTGGGAATTTATCAAAACTTTACTTTGACCATGTGGTGATGGGTCTGATTTACTCACCTCCCACCGCTTCGCCCACCGTTTTAGAAGCTGCATATGCGCCTTTGATCTTATGATGAGGATGATGAGGGTGGTGGCATTCCTATGGATGCGCAAAGCTCAGCCTAACAGAGTATAACGCGAACCGTGATTTTAATTATATTTTTTACACAATTCATTTTTTAGGAAATTAAATGCCACACGCCTCGTACTGCTCTTTTTTCTCTCTCCAAAACTCAACACCTGCAAGCCAGATACGAAAGAATGAGTTTCGGAGAGAAAAAAGAGCAGTACAAGGCATGTGGCCTCTAATTTCCTAAAACACTTTGTGTCAAGTCAAGTCGGCGGAATAGCGCGAGCTCCAGTGAAGTAGCGTACATACTGGTACTTAACTTAGTACTTCGGCACATTTTACAAATTTGGACAGCGTTTTCAAAGTGTGCAGAGCACAAAGAATGCTTACTTCAAACTCCACAAGTGCTTGGCGAGATTTCGGCATCATAGTTGCATACCTGAATCCAGAGTCAGAGGATACAAAAAAACCTTATCAGACCGGATGGCTCCGGGCCTTCCGGCACCTTCATATCAGTAGCAAATTGCTACGGGCTAACAACAGCCATAACTCAACATGCACTGCTCTTCATTCCACTTTTACATTATTCACTGTTCCTGGGGAAAAGAACTGAAAATAAACATCCAAAAGGCTACTGTACGCAACTAAAAAATTAAAAATTAGAAAATGTCCTAAACGACAAGCGAACACAACTGCATGAGACAATGGGGGCATGAAAATGAGGAGGCTGGGCACCACAGTAAGTGCCAGAAATCACACATCTCTGTTCTAGAGATAGCAGCTGTTTTACATTCTTTTTTTAAAGGAACAAAGAACACGAACACACAAGATACGTACGTTACCCTTCCGAAACTCTGAACAGCGCCGACTAAGTCACCTTCTCTACAGCCATCTGGTACGTTGCGGCAATGGATCACTCTCGATGACGGAGGGTCCTGTTCGCTAATTCCCTCTTTCTTGATCCGTTTAGGGTCAGGGAAGTCCCGGGAGGACTCGTTGATCCATGACCGCTTTGACATTCTCACGAACGGGCGGTCCAAAGTCCTAAGAAGAAACACACCAAAGGAGACGAGAGTGAAACAGTTGATCTTGAAAAGCTGGTGGCAAACTTCATTGCGCAACTTCCTAAAGCGTGTGAGCTGCAAATGCAGGTGCAGTACATGTACACACTAAGGGGTCATCCGTGAATATAGATACAGTCAACCTACCCTTATAACGATAACCCCTATAACGATAGTACCCTTATAACGATATTTTTCTGCCAAACCAAATCACTCCATTGACTTTTTGTATACACCGGCTTACCCTTATAACAATATTGCTATAACGATATTACCCCTATAACAATATAAGATGGGCTGACCAATCGACATTTTCCACTTTATAACAATATCCAGCAGGGAATATGTAGAGTCCACTGTCAAGGTAGGGCAAGCTTCACTTGATAAGTCGCTAGGACATGACGGAATGCGATGGGGGCACCAGTGGGCACCTTGCTGTGTACATAATGTGCATGTACATAAGTTTTTGACGCTATGAAGAGTGTAAAAATTGAACTAAATTCATGCATTATGACGTATGTGTATGAATGAACCAGTTACCCTTATAACAATATTTCTTGGTCGGACGCAAATATCGTTATAAGGGTAGGTCGACTTTATTTATTTAGAAACGAAAACTACTTGTTTAGGGGGGAGGGGGTTGAGCACATGTATAGTCTCACTGAATGCACTGTCAGCAAGTCCCAATGCACAAAAGTCACTTCAGGCCTCAGCATAGTACCTAGCCACGCCAATGGCAACACGGCATTGCGAATACAGGCTGAGCACTACAGTGGGAAACGTCTGTGCTGAGCGATGCTCATTATCAAGATGCTACATCAACTGACACTGCACGCGCGGCAATGCTCAGGCTCGGTATTTTACCACTCTTAATTCCACACTTCACAACAGGAAGCCACTGATACCCTCAGCTAGGGCAGCAAGGTATTTATTATCATGACGTCATGAGCTGTTGAGTAAGACATGATTGACCTCCACATGTCTAAGTACAATGAATCAGAAGCAATTTCATCATGGACTCTGGCTAACACTGAGCTTGAACACAAACTCCTCCTCTCTCCCCTGCGCAACACTCCTGACTTGTATTTTCAATATAACATGGTACATGTACTTCGATGAAGAGAATATAGACTGCATGTACTGGTATATAGATATAAAACAGGTATAAACTCCTTTTTAGGACCAGATCAGCTCAGTACAAGCATAAGATAACCTCTCAATTTGAAACTCGGCTGTTGAGACAATAATAAATGTAGAAAGGAAAAGGACTTATGGAGACGAGTGAAGAGTAACTGTCCACCACTGTAGCTACAACAGTCGTGGCTCGTGGCAAGCGAAATCCGACACTTGCCATAGGGGACAGCGCCACAAATGGACATCAATGATGTAATGAGCTGCACCTAATTTGTACATTAGAGCTGTATGCATCCCAAACATGTCGAAAGGTCACAGCGTAGATACAAACAGTTCACAGACATGGTACACATAAGGAGTATTGGTATCCAGTCGAGTCCCCATTCATTTTGCCAGCACCTTTGAACCTTTCTTGTGAACCTTCACTGCGATGAATACGAATTCTGTCATGAGACAGATAAAAGTTGTACGTAATGGGGTATTCACACGACAGGCAAATCCACGTGCACCGGAAAGTTGCTATGGTATTTTACCTGTGAACGAGAAAAGTGGCTGAAAGTGGCTGAAAAGTGCAAGCGAGCTGGGGCCCCACTTTCACGATAATCGTGGCGTGCACGAGTACATTTACTCCGAAAAGCGCGAAACAAAACTTGATTTTTTATGCGGCTCTTTAGAGCATGATAATTATTGTATGCGTGTTTTGAAAATTTGAAATACCCATGGCTACTGGTCGGTGAAGAATTCAAAAATGAAAACGTGCCTGTCATCGAGTGTAGCCATGTGAATCCACACAGTCACTTTTCTCGTATGTCACTCCCTGTAAAACGTGCAAGTGCCTGTCGTGTGAATACCCCATAACACACGTACTACGTATGCAGGGCTGCACACTGCACGGTGTAGTCCCTTATGCCAAGTGTCGGATTTTGCTTGCCATAACTGTACCGTAAAATCCCGCCAGAGCGCCCCGTCTCTCCCATCCGCCCCTCCATGACTTCCTCTCAGGGAAGTGATCGATTCTATCCTCGTACGACTCTGTGATGCCGTACTGTACTGCAGATGCATGCTCGACCCCTTTGGAAATGTACGCAACAGTGCCCACCCTCTTGCCCAAGGGATCGCACAAACCCTGAGTTTTGACGGGTCTGTATGACTCCTCGCTCTTGACCTTTGGTCGGTGCACGAGAAGCACGAACAGTTTTTGTAGGGTGAGTACTGTTTTCAAGCAGTACTGAATGCGGCAAGTAGGACTCGACCATCCGCCCCTCTCCACCCGAACCTTCTCGACGCGTCGAGGAGGTAGGGGCACTCTGGCTGGATTTTACGGTATATACAGTCAGAAAGTGCAACAATTAGGCACAAAACTGACAGAGTACTGAGAATTCGACGACCTGACACCTAGCTCCAACACATCTCCGAAGCGCTAACCAACAGCCTTCCAACTCGGAAGGTTCTACGGTAAGGACCTTGTTGCACTTTCTGACTGTATGTAGTATCTAGTTACAGTGGTGGACAGTTACTCCTTCAGGAGCCGATTGGAATTTTCAAAATTCTGCGTATTTCCACTTTCTTTGGATCGTAACTTCAGTTCTACTCACCCAATCTTCACAATCTTAGGCTTCCTGCAAGTTCTCCTGGAAAGGTCTCCGCGAGAGGAAGAGACTGAGATCACACATGATGACCAGGACACCATATCTCCAGCGCTGCAGAGCAGCAAAGTAGCGAAAACTGCTTGAAAAGTGTGCAATTCCGTCCTGCTCCAGCCGTTTCATTTTTCTTGATCGCAGAGTTTCGATTATTTTCACTGTGCACTCTTGAGAGTTCTACTAGTGAAACCCACGGAAATGTGATTAATTCAGAGCGAGGAAAAGTCTCAAAATACTCATCTTTAGCACGCACACCACGTTTTTCAAGTTGCTGCGATCTCGGCTCAAAGTACGAGCGATTTATCTCAGGAACCGTTGATCGCAGCGCTTCGCGGACGGGTTCTACAGAATGCTGAGAGTTTTCTCTTCGACCTGGATATTAGGATCGTTGAATTTGAGCGAAGTTTGACTGAGTTACAACCTGCTGAAGTTACTACTCACTTGATTATATGGGAAATATTAACCAACTTACAAACAGCGGCTGCACCTCAGTTTGTATAGACTAAGGGCGTTTTCAAGGTTGTACCAACAGTCACTTTTTGGGGTCATGTGCGAGAAATTTTTGAATCGCTGGTGACCAGGCGAAGCCCAGTTCACGTTCACCTTGTATGGGAATGGATGCATGGAGGAGAAGGAAGCAGTAGAATGGTGCTCCACTTGATGTCCGACACTTGTGTTGAGTCAGGCAGTTGGCAGGAAGCAGGTTTACAGGTTTATATTTCACAAAGTGTCTGTAGTCTTTGCTGCAAACAGTGCTCAATACCTCAAAAAGGGGCAGAGCTTACCACACAGGGCAGAACAACAGAGACCAAAAATCCTTCTCGTGACTCCGAGTTTCGTGTTTCAAAAAAGACACTGATGAGTGTTTTTTGAACCACGAAACTCGGAGTCACGAAAAGGATTTTTGGTCTCAGGTTTATATTTCCCATATAATCAACTGGTTAGATTAGATCCATAATTGTTTAAAAAGAAACGTTCTAGAATACTTGTACACAGGTGCTACAGTCCATTCAACCTAAATAGTCCCGCTACCTTTTGAAAGCCCGTTTTTAGCCGAATTGAGGCTCAAAACCCACTTTAAACTTGAAAAATCTACTGGCCTCAAATTTGGCAAGGAATGATTGCATGGGTCACACAATGCGGGATGCACTGTTGTTTTCACGATATCTACAACTACAGTCAACTTCGTTTATAACGACACTCGGCGGGGCATCAAAAAAGTGTCCTTATTCGCGAAGTGTCGTTATACCCGAAGTCTCATTATATGTATTACAGTTGGATGGAACTTTGCTCTGGCCATGGACATTCTGTCGTTATTCGCGAATTGTCGTTATATCCACAGTCATTATTAGCGAAGTTGACTATATGTGGGAGACACCAAAAGGTTACGGTGGCAGTTTCCAACGAATAGACTACAGTTATTAATCAGAGCCAGCACAAGTATGGTGATGGATGGATGGTGCACCTAACAGTGTGCTAGCACAGAGCCGAGAATCCAAACGTTGCCACCATTTGTAGGCAGGCCGTAGGTTAACATGCATGATTCTTCTATACACATACCCAGCCAACAATCATCCGAATTCATACATCGCACCCAATAATAGATCATTTGAAAACAACACAGACTGCATCGCAGTTCCTCTGCATCGTATAACTCTAATTCCTACTTCTGCAGCAGCAGAGCGAAGAGAAGATATACAAACTACGGCACTTGGCCACACTTACTAAATTGAGTATGTCAACTGCTTTCACAGGTGGCAAAGGAGTAAAGTCGAGTCCTTTTGATTGGGATGGTTCGTCAGTGGCGTCAAAGGAAAACGCTGCATGTAACTTCTCCACCTCGCTTTAATGTTGAACAAACAACCTTCAAGACTGCACAGAAATCAGGGATTCATGCAACAAATAGCCTGCCTATGCGTATTATGCATAATAATACCAAGAGTACTCTTGATAATACTGATGATCTTGCAAGCTACCTGACCAGCCAAACACTCTGACTGACTGGAAACATTGAATGTCCTTCAAAAAAAAAAGAGTTTGCGAAGCAGGCCAAACTGCACAAAAAAAAGCCTGGCAAGCGAAAAAAATAGCCAAAAATCATCCGATTGATTGCGCGAAAAACATTGAGGAAGAAAAAACTTGCCAGTAAAGTGTGTGTACGTCATGATGATTGTGATGTGTGACGTATGATGTAGATCCACATAATGTCATTGATCAGAATCAAAATTCGATAAATGGACGGTACAGAGCCGTAGTCGTAGCAGCTACTACTGCATGCATGCAGTGCAGCAGATCTACGCTCTTCAACAAGTTCAAGTTCAACTGCAAGCGGCAAGAAGATTCGCTTTGATGACAACGAAAGGATTTTTTTGTGTGGCGTAGCTGCATCAGTTGCTTTCGTATGTTGCGTTTGCGCTAGTTGTGCAGCAAGAATGTTGGCACGTTGTGCTCGCCGGCCTCTTGGCCTTGCTGTTCGACCCGTTTTTATTCGATATGCTGGATCCACTGCGGCTGCCGCACAGGACGCTCCGACGCAAGTTGTCCCGGCTCAGCGAAAGTATGTGTTCGAATTGCTGCCCAATGTGAAGAAGGGATTTTTCGGCAGCCAGCTAAGTGAGTTCATGGGAGAACGCCTGGGCGTAACAGGCAGCTGGACGCTTGGATTTGGTTTGACGACTTACCTTTGGTCCAAGGAATGGATTCTGTACAACGGCGAAACATGTTTAATCATTCCACAGCTTGGTGTACTCTACGTCTGTGTCAGCAAGCTTGCTAGCTTTACATCTGATGGTGCTGAGAAGGCTAACACACACATTTTCAATCGCCTGTACAACCGCAAGGATGCAGTAGCAGATATCTTGCAAACTGGCATTACGGCAGCCAATGACGTTGAGGCGGAGGTGTCGGTTCGCACGGATGTGTTTGATATTCTCCGCACCAACGCCTCAATGTACCGAGACACGCTGTACCGGGAGAGAGCCGCTGCCCTCAACAACGAGGTTCTCAAGCGCCTTCAGCACCAAGCTGAGCTTGAGGCTGCACGGCGGCGCATTAAGCAGACACACATGATCACCTGGATTCAGCGTGAAGTGGTGAAGGACGTCTCGACAACTCTGGACCACACCGCTATGATGGACTCGTGTCTGGATGAGCTGAAGGGAGCCGTCGACATGGCCGTAAAGGAGAAGGCTGTCGCATGAAGTGAGTGAAGCAATCGTCCACTCTCAAGTTCTGTTTGTGTTCTATCATTATTATTATTGGTTCTTTTTTTCATTGCAGTATGCCACCTAGGTTTTAGTGCTTGTTTTCTAGTTGTCTTTGTTATGCAATGGACCATGTAGTTCTCTGAGGTGGGCGGGGGTTGCCATTAATTTGGTGATCTGGAATTGTAGAAAATCCGTGGCATCGCCATTGTATTCGAAGCCCTTTATCTGCCTTGTATGATCTTGTTTGCTCAGTTCGAGTCCCGTAAACCGTCATGCAAGTGTCGGAGTAACTTTATTAAAATAATGTGATGGGCTCTGCATACCTATTTTGTGTGCAGGCTTGCCAACTCAGTAATAGAGCTGTATCGATGAGCAGTGCCGTGTGCAGTGTGTGTCCTATATGGTGCAACGAGATCAGGTTACCGGATTCCTGGCGGGGGGCGGAGGGAGGGGCGGGGCCCATGTCTTTCGTGTCTTTCTCATTATCCTGGGTGTTTACCAACAGCCAGTGCATGTAAGGGTATGTAATGTGATGTGTGGTTGAGGAATAGGGCAAAAGCCCGACAATAGAAATTCACTGGCCAGAAAAGCTGAGAAAACCCACTTCAAAAAGCTGTGTATTGTAGACCAGGCTGAATACGACACAGACTTAGTGGCGCCACAGTCAATTGTTCAGCCTTGTGAGCTGCTGAACTAGTGTTGCAATCATAACTATGGCGTGAGCTGTAGCATCACTATCATTGCCGCGATACAGTGATGGGTGTCTAAATGGTCTGAGGTGTGTATGTGCATAACGAACTCATGGTTGGGTAAAACTAGATGTTGGCGGGGAATCCACACAGGTTTTTCTGGTACAGAAGTGTTGATTAGAAGTTTTTGCACTTTCATACGATTACCGTCATGGACATGGAAATCCGGTTGGAGGCACTGGCAGGGGCGTCGGACACGCTGCGGTCACTACGGTATTGACCGTACCACTCTTTGTCCCAGGTACCCTGTGAATCAATCAAATGCACTGATTTGGACTCTATATTTCGAAAAAAATTCCGGCAGAGGCGCCACCCCAAACCCCATGAGTAAATTGTACAGGTGGCTGGCTGTACCACCCTAGAATACCTCCCGACGCCTCTGGGAGGTCAAGCGGCCCCAGGGCACTGGCTATGCAGCCGTGAGCCGCTGAGTATGCATCAGCATGACTTGATTGTGCACTGCATGCAACTTTCTGTACGCACTGCCACATTAATCATCGTCGAAGTCGCTACCACTATCTCGTTCAATAGAGTATTCAGTTTTTAATGTTTTTTTTTTTAATGAAAGTGGATAGTGAAGAACAGCAAGTTGCCCCAATGCCGAATCAGTCACAAAGGAACAAGTTATGATGGTATGTGTAGTTCACGGAGAGCAGGCCGCATGATAAAAATTATGTATAGGAAATTTTATCGTTATAATTACAAGTCAAGCAAGACACTGAAGCTCATGCAAGAAGAAAAGTTATCAATGGCCCGGGCCATGGGAGTACTTCCACCTTTACGGATCATTGCTTCCTTCCTCTTTTCTCATGTACTCTCTGAGGTCACTTTGAACCAAGCCCAGTTACTATCGATTTTACCTCCCTTCCCTAAAAGGTTTTTGCTCTGTTGCGGCTGCAGTGAATGTGGTGACACTACCGTCATTGCATCCACAGAAGAAACACGTTGCAAGCGATGCTAAGCAAATCGAAACATAATCTGGATATGGACAAGAGTACATAAACTCCCTGGGAGCTTATTTTACTCCTGCTCTGGACAATACATTGTAGAGTACAAATGATTCAATAATTATTATGCAGATTTAATTCACATCATACTGATTCATATGCTGCCATGCCACACAATACTAATAGTTTTGCACTCTTGATACTGCAATGATGTACATGTACCAGGCAGTAGGTTGTTGAGTGCATGACCATGGTGACTGGATTGGCATCATAGGCACAGCTTTGCAAGTGCGATTCCGCCGATTAGGTATAACATGACGCATGCATGTTATAAATAAAAATATGCATAATTGACATTGCAGATATGGAGATTGGGTGCTAGTAATTGTACCGGTAGATGTATTATGTGGCCGTCGGCTGCGATTGGGATTTGCGTTAGCAACAGTATCACCAAAGTACATAACCACTGTCATTGTATACTTCACTCTTTGTACACACCACCCTATCTTGTAGTCGTTACTCGTAGTACCGTAAATTATAAACATGTACAATAATGGTAGTACAGTCAGACCTCGCTTATCCGGAAGAAAATCGTTGGGTACCGATTTACAGCATATGCCATGCATACATACTATTTACCGTATGTGTGTTTGATTATCCGGTTCCCTCGCCTATCCGGATATTTTTGTGGAACATGGATGTGTGCGGTTATGCGAGATCTGACTGTACACTGTACTCTTGCTATCTATGGAATACAAGGGGATGAAGAGCTGGAAATTAATATCTTGCTGTTGTAGCAGGAGTCGTGATAGATCTGTCCCCCGTGAATTCCGCGGCAGAATATCAGAAATTCCGTGCAGAATTCTGCGGCTGACAACAGTAAATTCTGCACTAAGTCTGCAAATCCTTCCAAATTCTGCGGCAATTCTGCAAGGGAAATGAGCGTAAAAACAGATCGAATTTCCGCAACCCCACCGAAGTTTGTTGTCCCTATCAATTCTGAACCAAAATTATGCGAAATCCTGGTCCAAAAAATAATTGAAAGCTCCAAAATGTACCTTGCAAGTTGATTTTGAAAGTAACAAGCAGGTTGGTTTGGCTGTGAAATACATCAAAAGTCTCCAGAAAAAGCAGTTTTTCTCTGTTGTGCAATATTCCGCGGGACTTTCTGAATTCTGCAATCCGCGGAATTCACGGGGGACAGAATTGTAGATGAACTACACAATGCACCCCACCACAGGCCTTTCCAGGGATAGGAAGACAGGACCAACAAACGACCAGATTGCATTTTCTCATTCCTCTCAAAAATGTGAAGAGTGCACATGCTGACTGCCTGAAGAATGTCGACTTACTGGGTAGTGCTACTGATATGATGATAGTGACCGCCATAACGAAGATAAATGCAAACTCGCGCGACGAAACGCACATACACAGAGCATGCACACAAACGGTTCACACGTGCACGGTCATAGATGAGGCAAAATCAAAATCAAAAAGCAGTCAGATCAGATGTCAGGATGAGATGATTAAATTAAAATACATATTCAGGAACGGGATGACAAAAAAGCCGGTACTCCTAGATAGGAAACACATACGTGACACTGTGTACATGAAAGCCTAGTAAAGTACTCAAGAAACCAGGTCAAGAGAGAAGCTCATGAAACCATAGATCAGCAAACGATACATATAAAAAGGACAACAAGAGCGAGAATATCTATTCTTAGGCTGGAGAATTTTTTCTGTAAAAATGATATAGACCGTTTCATGAACAGACAAATTAAGTTATTGTGCCAAGTTTTATGAATCTGGAATGAAAGCAATCTTTTTGGTTGTACCTATTAAAAAACCTATAAAAGTGCGATGCCCAGGATACGGTTATAATCTGTTGCACTGCATATGAAAAAGCCGAATCTTTCTCCTAGGCAGAGCTAGAGGGTGTCTGGTAATGAATCTACACAGTCAAAATCCTATGAGGGCAGATCCATATTGATGCTGGCACCCCTGATACGCATGCTGGCTGGTGCGCAGTAACGCGGTTACATGACCAGGCACGCCTCTCCATTCTTCTTCTTCTTCTTGCGGCTGATGGGCTTGTAGGCCTCCAGGAACTGCAGCTGCTTCATGTTGAATGCTCCCTTGCGGCGCTCGCGAATGAACTCCACTGCATCGTGATACTTGATGCCGGACTCAATCAGAGCAATGGCCACCATAACCGGGGCACGCCCAAGTCCGGCAACGCAATGAACGGCAATGCAGTTATCTGATGCCTCTCCAAAGCGTTTCTCAATCAGCTCCAGCCAATTGCTCAAAATCTCCGGAGGAGGGGCGCTGCCATCATCAAAGTACCAGTCATGAACTGGGATATTGGCTTCCAATAGCTTATCTGTGGTGTAAGATGGTTCACAGACGCGTACAACGTCAGTAACATTGTACTTCAGCAACTCTCCGACATAGTCTGTGAGGTTTCGCTCCTTTGGGCGCTCCGTGATCAGGAATCGGACCAAGCCCTTCTCAATGAATGAGGACTCCATTAGGGTTCCAGTTTTGTTCGTCATCTTTGAAGTCGAAATGGTCACTCCCTATCTCCTCTTGGCAATGAAACAGACAAAATGTGACGGTGCACCCAACTGCTAACACCGGAATTAACACGGCACGATCAGCACATCACCCCACGACCAGGGAGCTCCAACGAAGATACTGCAGCTACCCCATAGGCACCGAAGAATTCGAACAGGTGCAGCAACGCAAGATCGAACTCAGTGTTGCGCTCGGCACCACTCTGGGTACACCAGGAGAGAGCAAGTACGGCCACAGCCTACAAAAACGTCGAAGAACGCCGTGTTAGTCATCAGTATCAGAAGGGAGTAGAACCTGGCCAGTGCTGTACACAGAAACACACCAGAAGACACAGAAGAACAGGGTAAGGAAAGTCATGAACAAGGAATGAGCCAGGCCAGGGTCATATCCAATCTCAACCAAAAGGTACTAAAAACAACCCAAGCAACTTGTCGTATGAACGGTGATACAAGATTACCTTTATATCAAGAAAAAGCACTAAACAAACTGGATGGGATAGCCTCAACGACTAATCTTGCTTCGGTACGCGGTATGAACAACAATAGAAATTGATGCGGACAGATGGCTGAAGCCAACACCAAACTAAATTTCAACGAACATTACACCTCAAGACAAAAGTACAGCTACAAGTCGAAGGCGAAGAAAAATTCCCACACAGACCTACCTCCACGTGAGCGGATAGCACAAATCTTGCTCCTCGGCAGGTACAACGAAACAGCAATGCTCCTCGGGAACAAAACGTTCTCAAAGAAAACTTCTCCTTCGAAAGCAGCCCTCGACTAACATCGAACATCTGATTACACAGCTAGTAAAATCAAAAGGCACGCACGCACGCACAAAACACAAAAGCTACTTGTAGGGGTTGCTGTGCACGTTTTGTACTGTCTGCACAAGCAGGGAATCAGTCGTACATGTACTTGAACATCGCTGAAGCACTCACTCATTACATCAGATCAGAGTAGAACAGTTGCGAAGTGTCACCAGCTGAGGCAACAAATGCTGTAGTGTGTGTGAAGCTGTTGCCTGTGTGCTTGCAACGCGTCGGTGCAACTGGAAGCGCATCGATCGCGATCGGACCGACGTGTCGTTCAGCTAGCTCACCTTTTTCCGTTTCGCCACAGCGCACAGCGAGCTGCTCACCGCGTAGATCTACCGCGCATGATGTTCACGCTTCCCCGGTTTCTCGGCATCGGAGGCTCAGTGCTAGTACTGCTAGCTGCTGTACTGCCTACTGGCCTGGCCATGTAATGCCTACTAATGGCAGTAATCCTGTTGCCAGTGTTGGCAGTGTTGCCTGAACTAGTGAAGCCAGTGAAGGCTGTAACTGTACAAAGTGTAGTGTAGTCTGTCTCCAGTTCAGTCTGTGTAGACTGTGTGGGGAGTGTGATCTCGCAGACGTGTATACTGTAGCTGTCGATATTATGTCCTTGGCTTGGTTCACTTGCCAGTGATCATGGACCTTGTTAGGTAAATTAGATCTTGTCGTCTTGCGTCTTGACTCTTGGTGATGGCGTGGACCGGATCGACCTGGCCCATTCAGCCTTTCAGGGATCTACAGACTACACATCATGCGTCAAGAAGACTAGATCCTACCCAACCCGCGGCCCTGGCCTGGGTCATACCATGAATGATACCGGTACCCTCGACTGTATACATGTACACGTACCCGTCGCTTGCGCTTGTTTTGCCATCTTTCAACACAAAATTAATGCAGACATACGTATACATGTCTGATGAGATGTATACAATCATGTACATGTACCAAAAAGTTTTTTAGTAGCACTCGACTCCCGATCCCGGGCGCGGGGCGGATCGGGTACGCAAGGCGAGAACTAATCTGGCCTAGCTGGTTTTATATAGGGCAGGAAACTGTGTTGCCCTCCGCCTCGCCACGACGCCAGGCGCTAGGCCAGCGGCCTCGGCCTCTGCAAGTGCAAGTCTGCATGATCTCTTCCTTGATCCTAAAGACTAGTAGTAAAGTCTTTAGCCTGGGTACGGGTAGTAAAGACAAAGTAAAACGGGCCAAGAGTTCATAACCCCCGAAGGCAAACGACCAGAGTAAAAGTAAAACGTTCTGTGTAGCTCCCTGGCCTGCTGCATGCAAACTGACTGTCTGCGCACAGTCATGTTTTGTGAGCTGAACATGACTAGACTGTCGACTCGACACTGTCACCATGGTCACTGACAGGCTGACAGCTGAGCTCATGTCATGCATGATCTGACAAGAGTTCATAAAAACTCTTGATATAGACTATAAAATAATAAATATTATGAGTTGACGTAACTGCAAAACCTTCACTTCACTGGAATGAAACATTGAAAGGCAGAACATTATTATTATTGACCAGGACTCAGGAGTTTGATAATTTTTAATTGGAATGAGATAAGTCAGGCAACGAAGTAGTTTCTTTTCGAGAGGACAGTGCAATTTACGTGGCAAGAAGCCACCAACCATGGAGTTCCAAGCTGTAATTATGGCTGCTGGACGTGGCTTGCGAATGGGATGCCTCACTTCAGGCACACCCAAAGCACTGCTGCCTTTAGGTCACTATCCCCTGTTGTATTATCCAGCAAAGCTTTTGGAGAGAAGTGGCTTCGAAGGTTAGTTGCTTTCGTAGAAATGTATTTGTGAGCTTGTACTGGCACACTGAACGGGCCAGCTAAAGAATACAACAGTACCGGTCATGGTATGGAGCAACATACTAGCAGTAACAGTACAAATAATTACATGTATGTACATAATAAATGTGTGCAATTGCAATAAATCCTTCAGTTCTATTTTATTATACGTAAACATAATGTTGACCTGCGCTTTCCCTAAAAAGGAATATTATATGAACAGTATTTATTGGCCTTTAATAGTGGTATTTTATAAACAGTATTTATTGGCTTTTGTAAATACTTTTCAAATACATAAAACTCTCCTCCTCCATGCGCTCTAAAGCCGACCATTGCTACCCTTGGTAGCCATTACTCACACCAATAATCTCATACAACAAAGGAGTCACAGGTAAAACATTTCCTTCTGACACTGCGTGCTGCTTGGAGAATATTTGTTTACGTTCTCAGTGTTACACCTTGCCGAGTGTATTGCGCCCATAATATACCTTATAAATATTACCAAGAGTACATAACCCCCCAGAGTGCGCAAGTTCACTTATCAGATCTGGGACGGCGAAATCCGTGTTGCACCATGAGTAGGGGAAGTGTGGACGTGGTGCACCGCGTCGATGGAATGAGGCAAGTCCGACCCAAAAAATGACGTACATCATGGATTACGCCGTCCCACAACCCCATCCCAGTTGCGCACTCTGGGGGGGGGGGTGGGGGGGGGTTATGTACTCTTGATATTTCCAGTAATTTTGCCATGTCAATTACAATATCCAGTATCACCTTCTCTGAAGAGCCTTTGATAGGCGAAACAGCTATCAGAAGGAAATGTTTTACCCGTGACACCTTCGTTGTATGAGATTATTGGTGTGAGTAATGGCTACCGAGGGTAGCAATGGTCGACTTTAGAGCGCACGGAGGAGGAGAGTTTTATGTATTTGAAAAGTAACAGCCGAATGGTACCGTTAACAGTTTTATTGATATTTGTAAATACTGTTTAAAATACTCCTTGTTCTACTCGAACATGCCTCCGGATAGCACACGACTTGGTTTTAGAAGACTGTATTATAATGTTTTACTCTGACTCTAATCGAAATCATCTTCCAGTACGAAGAATATTCTGCTTCTCTTGAAGCAGAAGCGGAGATTCAAAAAACATTCAATCACCAGAGCGCGCGAAAGCAGTGTACGCGACTACGCGCAGCAGACATCAGCTGACATGAATACAACATGAGGAACGAATGCGTAGTAGTATGATAAAATGCACAACAGTACAACAAGCAGTGCTGATACACATACGTAAAACGGAGTGGCTCTGCACCACCTCTGCACCATAATCAGCGTCCTGGATATAAACTTGGGGTGAGCCGGGTACTCGTCTGTTTAGCTGCTGATCTGTTAGCAAACGAGTACCCGTTAGTCATGTACGACGGTACAGTACGGTATTATTAGCTGGCTTGTACAGTCGTACAGTTCAAATGTGTTGTTGCTGGTTTGATCCTGCTACATATGACGATTTTGACTGTTTTGCATGTAGCGCAGTAAGTGCCCATGCTGCGCTTGTCGCGATGTAGTGCACTTGCTGCGAATTGCATGACTTCGCAAGTCCTTCTGGCCCGAAGTGTGGAAGGCTGTTGTATAGTAACTGTTATTATTCGCTGCTAATGTAGCGTTGGCACGCTGGTGACTTTAACAGCGTATAGCGTATATTTTTAGCTTATCCCCGTACGTTAGCGTATTCCCGTACGTTAGCATATCCCCGTACATTAGCGTACGGAGTCTACCTGTGTATAAAAGCTGCTGCTCACGATTCTTTTCATTGCCAGTTAGTTACATTTCAGTTCAGTTCAGTGTTTAATAAATAACAGTGTGTTCACTGAGACCCTTGTGTATTCTTGCCTCCGAGAGACTGCGGCCCGCTTCAAAATTGGTGGCAGCGGTGGGAAGCTACAAAATCGGTGGCAGCGGTGGGATTCGAACCCACGTCTCCGGAGAGACTGGAGGGTACCCGATAACCCGCCCGTTAAGCCAGGTACCTGTTTGTAACCTTAACCCTTTCACTACCCAGGTATCTGTTTCACCCATAAACTGTACACTCCTTTTTTAGGGAAAAGTGCAGTGCTGCATGTAAAAGTGCAGTGGTATTTATTGAGTCAAAGCCAATATATTTGAATTTGATACTGTTGATGGTGTGGTCACTAATGTGTGTGTGTGTGTGTAGCTGGGATTAAATCTGAAGTGTGCATCCCATATGGTGCAGTGGTATGTGCAGCGAGTTCCAATCGATAGGTTGTGGGTTCGATTCCCGACGATTATGGTCACACACGTCTTCTTCTCTTTCTCAGACTCTTCCTGACTTTTCTTTCATTCTCCTGGGTGGTTACCAACAGCCAGTGCATGCCGGAGTGTGTGGTGTGATGTGTGTGCGGGAAAAAAATGGAAAGACCAAAAATAGGGATTCACTGGCCAGAAAAAAAGTCACTTCAAAATAGCTGTATGGTGTAGACCAGGCTGAATAGTGACGGTCAATTCTTCAGCCCTGCAAGCTGTTGAATGGTGCAATCCCAGCACAAGTTGCTATGGCTTCTGCCGTAGCATTGCTATCATCGCCTCCGGCAATGGGCGTCAAAGGTCAAGGTGTGTGTGTGTGTGTGCGTGCGCGCGCGTGCGTGTATGTGTGTGTGCACGTGTGCCTGTATATGTGTGCGTGTCTGTTTGCGTGTCTGCATATGCATGTGCATGAATTTCTTATTTACAGAGGCCATTCTGATTGTGCCCGAGTCTCAGGTTGCTCTTTTCACAGCCACAGTCTCTAAACTGGGATTAAATCTGAAGTTTGATATTGCTGTGGTCAATGAGGATGATGATCTAGGCACAGCTGATGCTCTTCGTCTCATTGCTCCGAGAATAAAGGTGAGGTGTAACATTGGTTCGTTTTGTGCAGGGAGAGTCAGGCTTACATGTATTTCTACACGGACAGCTCAGCATCGTGCCCATAGTCGTAACACCATACCTGCAACCAAGAGTACATAACCCCCAAGAGTGTGCAACTCCAACATACCCTGCTGTCCCGACAGAATTTCAAGTTGACGTCATTATCTATGATGCGATGCTCCTTGCACCAATGATTTACAACATGTGTACGGGTGTCAACGTCTCACACGTTTTTCTTTGCAACAATTTGTACAGGATCAGATGGGCTTTGGTCCACCACAGGTTCCGGATTCGTCTGATAATCCGTGTACAGTGCGCATTGCATCATAGAAATGACGTCAACTTGAAA